GGTCTCCGAGCGGCTCCTCTCCTCCTTCAGCCGGTGAGTCCGGCCCCAGGCCCTGCGTGGGGAGGCTGCCTCCAGGGAGCTCCCGGAACCGCTTCCTGAGACCCAGAGCTCTTCCCCCACCCTAGGCCCGGCAGCTTTCCTAAGGGGTCTGCTAGGGAAGAGGGATGGCTGCTGGGATTTTGGGGGAGAGCTAGCCCCCCATCCGGCCTTGGCCCCCCCGCAGGGAACCCCTTTGCCCCCAGCCACTGGGGCAGTGTCCCAGGGACGAGCCCCAGGGACTCGTGTCTCACATCCTGGCATGGCCCAGTGCCGGCATTGCACCTGCAGGATTCCCGGCCCGGCCTGGAGCAGAGTGCAGGAGCCAACAGTTTTGGGGTGATTCCCTGCACACGTGGCTCTTGGCTCACCCCTCTCCTCCCCACAGCTCAGAACTGGGCTCTGTGTCGCTGTTCCAGGACCCTGGCACCAGAAAGGCCTCTGGGGGCTCAAACACAGGCTGGGTGGTGGGAGAGCTGGGCCCTAGCCCTGCTACTGACGCACGGCGTCACCTTGGGCATGTCTCTTAGTACGTGCGTCTTGGGGCTGCTTCCCAGCGTGCGGACGGGGCGAGTGATGCTCAGCTGCCGCACAGGCTGGCACGGGGCAGAAACAGGCATGGCGGACACCAGACTGGGGGAGGTGACTGTGTGCTCTGCACGACCTCTGGGTGCCTCACCTTGGGGAAGAGGGGCTCAAACTAGAGTCCAGAGGGCGCAGTGAAAATGGCCGAAGGGTTTGAGTGCCTGGCCTGCAGGGAAGGTGAGAACCTGGCCGGGACGGGCGGAGCCCAGAAGCCTTGGCCGGGGGGCGGGATAAATGTCTCTCAGGGACGGTCTAGAGTATTCGGACCTGCTGTGAGGGACTCGGCGACTCTCGAGGTCCCTTCCAGTCCTAGCGCTCTGTGATTCTATTCCCCGGCCCATCCCTCCGCCAGGGACCACGGCCTGGATTACCTGGAGTTCCGCCTCTGGATCGGCCTCTGGGTGGCCTTCTTCGGCCTGGTGCTGGTGGCCACCGAAGCCAGTCACCTGGTGCAGTATTTCACCCGCTTCACCGAGGAGGGCTTCTGCGCCCTCATCAGCTTCATATTCATCTACGACGCCGTGAAGAAGATGCTGGGCTTGGCCGACAGCTTCCCCGTCCACTGGGATTACCGGATCGACGAGGTCCCCTTC